CTCTTTAAATACCCCGCCGAGACCACCCACCCTACACACACCCAATCACACCAATACCCACCCACTCAAGGCCTGGGCAATCTCTGCCCTCCCACTCCCAGCCACAACCAGTCCCTCACCTGCCCGGTCTCCACCTCACTCTAGACAAGGCGGAGCCTTACGAAGACAGCTGGCTTTACCAACTGACCTTCCTGTTTCCTACCTTCCGCTCCCTCAGCGCTGCCGCAGCTTACGTTTTTATGTAATCCCTCTCCCGGACTTAATGTCAGTAGAATTTTATGCCCGGTCGGACTTGAGGACTCTGGGACATTTAGACAACAGGCTGAGCCCCTCACCCCAAACCTCGTGCTTGGGGCCCTCACACTGCTATACCCCAGGCTGCTGGCAGCGTGAGGAAGGAGCCTCACCTGGCTCCCATGACCACCTAACTTTAATTTGTCCTTGATTAAACCATAGACAGATTGGAGTCAGGAGAGACCACAGGTTGCATCAATGACGTTATGGGATGAGTATTTGTAGTACAATGGATTGTCTAATTTTTGGGAGGAAGGACTGAGCACAGAGCACTCACACTGATGTACATTCCAGCCCTTATTTATTTATTTTTATTGTGAGACAGAGTCTCCCTAAGTCATTAAATTTTCCCAGGCTGTGCTCAAAAATGGAGATCCTGCTAAGTCATCGTCCTGCAATGCTGGGGTTATGAGGTGGAGGGTCCAGGGGACTTGTTTCCAGGCTCTTGGTATCCCAAGGAACTTGAGCAGGACCCTCAGGAGTAACAAGGGAAGATTTATTAATAGCGAAAGACTGAGGCTGTGTGAAGATCCACACGTAACTCTGAAAGTAATCAGCTGCTGCCTCCCAAGCCACCTTCTCCATGTTCGTGTCCGAGTTTCTGCTGCTGTGGCTCCTCTCAGATGCCAAGGATCTAACAGCAGCCATGAGGGGCCATGACTGCTTCCTGTGAGATGATCTGGGCACTGGACCCGGCAATGCCTTGTTGGTGGGGTCCACGGTTTTGGAATGAGAAGCTATGGTGAGATGATTTTCTATTGCATAGAGGTTCCCAGTTTGTTTCCTCTCTTCCAGACATCTGTTACCGCTGTGGCAAGTCTGATCATCTTGCCAAGGATGGTGATCTTTAGGAAGATACCTGCTATTGCCGCAGTAGAAGTGGCCACATTACGAGGGACCGAAAGGAGCATAAAAGAGCAAGAGAAGCACTGCTACAACTGTGAGAAAGCAGGCTATCTCGTGGCAGCTGTCACCTCATGCATGTGCAAAAAGCACAATACTTGTGGCATTTGCACACCTTCAGAAAGACGGTACCAAAGTGTAGTGCTCTGGGCCTGGAGAGATTCGCAATGTGGCCATGGACTGCAGAAAGACAAGTGAAGTCAACTGTTATGACTGTAGCGAGTCAGGATACCTTACCTGGGCCTGCACAACTAAGGCCAGAGCCTCAGTATTTTCCTGTGGCCTCTGCTTTTTCTGATAGATGGTTGTATTAATTCCTCTGAGTGCTCGTCATTGGCCTGAAGAGCTTTAGTTAGTTATTGTGTAAAAGGACGAAAGGGGTGGGGGAAATAAAACCACTTTCCTCCT